TCTGAGTTCTTAGCTGAGACCTGTGTACTGAACGACAGATTAACAAGAGAAAACCAAATGGAAGTTTATATACCTCTTATGCATGGGAGATACCTAGGGAAAGAAGAAGAACTCTCCAAGGTGGCTTAGAACTCAGGCTTGAACACCATTTTAATAAGGAAAGGGTATGTCTGTGTAGACTTTTTGGGGGAGAGCAAATGATTTTTAGGAAAGATGAATGGGCCCTTAAAAGAACACATGGGAGATGAGAGTGTGTAACAAAGTTTGTCTGGGTGTCTACTTCTAGTTTCTTCTTCTGTGATGAGTCAATCTTCCCTGGTTGATGAAACTCTCAGAAAGGAGATTTGTGATAACTGAGTTCCTATTCTTGGAGGGCCTGTCTTTAAGCAGATAAGGTATTCAGAGAAAGCTGTTTCCTGCATTTGCTATTATTTTTCAAGTGTCTACAGTTCAAAATAATCAACATACCCATGCAGCATATTTTGGGGTGGCATGTCCTGAACTTCTACAGCTGCTCTGACTCACCCCTATTTTGGGGTGGCACATTCCACTACCCTTCATTCAACACATCATTATCACTCAAAGTCCATAGTTTACATTAGGGTTCACGTTTGCCATTATGTGGCACCAATTTTCAACCGGTGTGCGGCAAGAGGCATGCTGGTGTGCCACAATAATTTTTAAAACATGCAATACCTGACTATATAGTCAGGGCACTAACCTCTTTTCCCAGAGTTTGTCAAATAAAAAAATGACAAAGCCAACACAATAGCCATCTGGTGTGAATAAATGAAAATTATACCTATTTTTTGGTCAGATCAACAATAAATATATTTTTTGGTGTGCCGCAGAATTTTAGTAATTAGTTTATGTGTACCATGAGATAAAAAAAAATTTGAAAATCGCTGTTCTATGGTATTGGACAATTGTATAGTGACATGTGTCCACCATTGTAGTATCATACAGAGTAGTTTCATGACCCTAAAAACCCTTAGTGCGCCCTCTCTTCATCTCCCCCTCCCTCCATTCTCACCCCTGGCAACCATTGATCTTTTTACTGCCTCCATAGTTTTGTCTTTTCCAGAATGTCATGTAGTGAGAGTCGTACAGTATGTATGTAGCCTTTTCGATTGGCTTCTTTCACTTAGTAACATGCATTGAAGATTCCTCCATGTTTTTTCATGGCTTGATAGTTCATTTCTTTTTAGTGCTGAATAATATTGCATTGTCTGGATGTATGTACCACACTTTATTCATTCACCTACTAAAGGACATCTTGATTGCTTCTAAGTTTTGGCAATTATAAATACAGCTCCTATAAACATTCGTGTGCAAGGTTTTAGATGGACATAAGTTTCCAATCCTCTTGGGCAAATACCAAGGAGTATGATTGCTGGATCAGATGTAAGAATAGGTTTAGTTTTGTAAGAAACTGCCACCCTGTCTTCTAAAGTGTTACATTCCTACCAGCGGTGTATAAGAGTGCCTGTTGCTACACGTCCTCACCAGTGTTCTGGATTTTGGCCATTCGAATACTGGTATTCATTGTTGTTTTAGTTTGCATTTCCATGATGGCATATGATATGGAGCATCTTTTCATATACTTATTTGCCACCTGTATATCTTCTTTGGTAAGGTATATTTTGGATAACATTTCTTTACCCTACATATCTTTTGCAAATATTTTCTCCCAATCTCTGGCATATCTTCTCATTTTCTTGATGGTATCTTTCACAGAGCAGAAATGTTTAATGTTAATGAAGTCCAGCTTACTAATTTTTATATAGATTGTGCCTTTGGTGTTGTATCTAAGAAGTCATTGCCAAACTCAAGTTTTTTCCGGTGTTGTTTTCTAGGCGTTTAATAGTTTTGCGTTTTACATTTAGGTCTGTGATCCATTTTGAGTGAATTTTTGTGAATGCTGTGAAGTTTGTGTCTAGACTCATTTTTCTGTGAACTTACAGTTGTTGCAGTACCATTTGTGAAAAGACTGTCTTTGCGTATTGCATTGCCTTTGCTCCTTTGTCAGACATCAGGTGACTATATTTACACGGGTCTATTTCTGGGCTCTCTATTCTCCTCCATTGACCTACTTATCTGTTCTTTTACCAGTACACACTGTCTTGATTATTGTAGCTTTATAGAAAGTCTTGAATTAAGGTAGTGTCAATCCTCCAGTTTTGTTCTACTTCTTTATTATTGAGCTGGTTTTTCTGGGTCTTTGGCTCCTTCATTATTTAGAGTCTAAAGGGGGGAGCGTCCTAAGAGAAATGTTTGAGAATTGTTGTTGTAGAGAAAGATGGACAGACACACAGATGCGTGCATTAAATTCTTATGATAGGAAAGAGGATAGAGTGTAGCAGAGGGGAACCCAAACTGAGTTTTGTACATCCAACTGCCTTGTTCTGGGGGCCGAGCACCCTGCCGCTTTAGGGTGCATCTCTGAGTCCAAATTTAGAGGCCATGTGACACAGACGTGAGCCTGGTCTCAGGAGAGACTCAGAGAGAGAGAGAGAGAGAGAGAGAGAGAGAGAGAGAGAGAGAGAGGAGAGAGAGAGAGAGAGAGAGGAGAGAGAGACTCCGAGAGAGAGAGAGAGAGACTCCGAGAGAGAGAGAGAGAGAGGTATAGGGCGTGGATTGTCCACCTCCCTCGGACTAGAGAACACAGGGCCGAGGGGCCGTTTGGAACTGGTCTTGCACTTCTCTGAGAGGAAGGTGGGTCTTGGTTGTTAGGGTGGCTCAGGTAACTCCAGGGCTATGCCTGCCTCCTGGTCTTCATAACTAACATGTTAAATCTCAAGAGTAAACCATGTTAAAAAGGGGAACAGTCCCCTCTTGTACTGATCACCTACCACCCTCTACGTTCTGCAGGAAACACATGCAGAGGAGAAAAGGAGGGACTTTAGTATCAAACCCCAGAACAAAAACAAATATATCCCCAGACCTGTTGGACTCCTCCGGAGAGAAAGTGTTGTTTGCTGAGAGAGGCCAGTTGCTTGCTCTGCTCCCTGCACCTGGGCCACACCCCAGACGCAGACCCCTCCGGCAGTGAGAGAGGCCGGCAGCTGGCCTGAGCAGAGCTGAGGGTTGAATGGGGCCGCCTTCAGATCAGGCCACACAGCTGCTCCCTGACCCAGTTGACCTCATCAGCTGCAAGAGCATCATGAGGAATCCCAAGAGCAAGCCAAAGGAAGCGAGGCCGAGGCCAAGCCTTCCTGTACCCCAGCCTGTGGAAGTACATCGCCCCCAGGGACCAACCCAGATGGCTTCCCATTCATTAGCCATTTGCCAGACACGTCTTCAGACCCCGCTCCTGGCACTGTGCCCGAAGTAACAGCATTCCTGGGGGACACTGGTGGGTTCAGAGGGCCCCTAAAGGTCCAGACATCAGGCATGTGTGCTATGGTACAGGGAGAAGGCCTAGAGTTTTTACCAAATGTTCAAAGGCAAGGGGAAGTTCTTTCTCAAAAAGGGGTTAAGAACCACTATGTTAGAGGTCAACAGTCACTACAGCAGCTCTGTTGAGGGTTTTCAAAATAACATCAATTAAATAACATCAATTCAAAAAAATAGCTCAGTTGTTCTCCAAGCCTGGCTCAGTGCTAAGAGCTGGAGATGCAACAATGAACAAGGCCAGATGCCATCCGTGTGCCATTGAGGAACACAGATACAAATCAAACACACACACACACACACACACACACACACGCGTGTCAAATTTCAAATCATGTCTTGCTATGAAGGAAAGAAACCTGGTTTTATGACAGATATAACAGTGGATGTTTAGTTTTTATTTTTATATGTTTGTTTATTTTTGAATAGGTAATGCACTCATGTTAAAAAATTTTCAAAAGAATTATACAGTGACACCACCCACCCACCCTAGCCCCTAGCCACTCCCTGGGGGCCATGCATGTTCTCCAGACTGGTGAGTGGCCTCTTGCTATTAGGCCAGGGAGAGAAGAGCAAGCTTACTTGAGAATATGAAGCTTGAAATGAAATTTGAAGCATGCATGTGAGTTAACTAAGTGAAGGGGACTAGAAAGAAATGTGGAAAGTACTCTAGACAGAGGCACTAGCTTGTGCAAAGGCCCTGTGGCAAGAGACAGCATGATGTAATAGAAGAACTAAAAGAACACCCGTGGCTAGAATGCAGAAAGCAGGGAGGCAGAAGTCCAGGATGCTGGTGGGTGGGGAGGATGCACCCTTGTAGACTGCTCAGCATTAAGGTTTTTCCCCTGAAACCCACTGAACGAGGAGGGGAGATAACCGGCAATCACACTTGCATTTTGAAACTATCACCCTGGCTTTTGTATGGGATTGGCGGGGAAAGCACTTAATGGGTTCTTATTCAGTTCAGGTGAGAAATGGTGTGAGTTGGTGGTGGTGCTTTATCTACTTATAATATAGCAGGTCCTCGAATAACAGCATCATTTTGTTATAGTGTTGATGAGATGCTGTAAGAACTTAACTCTTGTTTATATCAGTTGCTCTATGGTAAAATTGGTTTTGTGATCCGTTGTTTTGCGGCAGTTCTGAGAAGCGTTCGATGACGTTATGTGAGGACTTAACTGTACACTGCAAGCAATGTGTTGGTGTGTGTGGTTCTTGATTCTGAAAAAAAAGTCAACAAAACGTTTGTTTCAATTCTCTCAACTGAATGGAAGAGAATTCATAACAGGAGTTTGCTTAGAATGTAGTTAACACCTGGCTAGATTGTGTGCAAGCATGTGGCCAAACTGACAGTATAATTTAGCATTCCTGTTAAAGGGAGGATGGGCAAAGGGCTGAATCTCCTGGAATCTTGCCGAAAGACACCTGGTCCAGGCTCCCACCTGCTCACCCTCTGCAGGAGCCCTCCAGTGGCAGGAGGTTGTCACTGTGGCCACAAGGTCATAGCAGAGTGACCACGTGGGCGATGCTCAGTACGTAGAACTCCCGGTGCTGGAGATGTTTGGGTGTGTGCACACTCAGTTTTCCTTCTGTCCCCCTCGCCCCCAGAATGGCTTATCCCGAGGAGCAAGGAGGCGTCCCCTGTGGTTTCCTCCGCCAGAATTCCGGCAACTCGGTTTCCTTGGACTTCGAGCCCCACACTGAGTACCGGTTTGTGGAGCAATTAGAAGAGCGATACAAATGTGCCTTCTGTCACTCGGTGCTTCACAACCCCCACCAGACGGGATGTGGGCACCGTTTCTGCCAGCACTGCATCCTAGCCCTGAGGTGAGTGGGCTCTAAATGCCAAGTGTGGCCTTTCAACTGTAATTGTGGTTCTGGGATGGCTGTGGTTGGCCACAGAACCATCAATCTGAGGAGGGGCTCTCCCGGGCCCCTCCTGTGAGACCCTGAGGAGCCATCTTCATTTTTTGCCACTCGCTGACTGATTCTCACTTTTGGTTAAAATCCAGACCACGCCTGCTTTGCATGTGAGGACAAACCTAGAAGCCCAGTCTGCGTTTCCCCCAGGGCCTGCAGACACCCTGCCCTTCCTTGCCTAAGGCAGTGGTGACGTCACGGAATCTCTCAGGCATGGGGCTGTTCACTCCTGGGTGGCTGTAAAGCCTGGCTCATGCCCTGTTGAGGGAGCGGACCAGGAGAGACAGAAAAGCGGGCATTTAGGGCTTATCGAGGAGCAGGAAGGAAGTTGTATCCTGCCCAGCTGAGAAAGGGGGTTATTACAGCACACGCCCATTCATTCATGGGCTCGTTCATTCAGTGCCCGTGTGTTCCAGGCACCTTGCTAAACTAAGCTCCAGTGTCCAGAGTTGGAGAGCTGAGGTCCAGTGTGGAACAGGACCCGGTCTCTGCCTTCTAGAACATTCCAGTCCAGTGAAGCAGACAGGCAGGCGGTGGTACAGTGTGATAAGCAAAGGACTGGAGAGGGCATTCAACTCTGTCCAGGGGACTCACTATTTGATTTGCGTCCTGGGAATGAAGGGGAGTTTTTTTTCAGACTGAAGAGGTGCTGGAATTGGGGCGCTGGGGGTCTTCTAGGAGAGGGAATAGCATGAGTAAAGACAGGGCCTGGGCTGCTCCGGGGAACGTCAGGGGGCCGAGCATGGCCGGAGTGCTGAAGAGCTGTCAAGGTCAACTCTTAATTCTGGCTCTATTTTTATTTTTCTCTCCAGAGAATTAAATGCAGTGCCGCTCTGCCCTGTGGATAAGGAGGTCATCAAATCTCATGAGGTAAGAAAACCACTGCTTTGGGTTAGCAAGTCTCTAGTTGATAGAGAAGCCAGTGTCCTGGTTGGGCATCGAGGTTGGAGCAGGCGAGCGGGAGGGGGTCTTCCCTGGGGTCCATATTCCTCTGCTGAGGGCTCAGGTTGGACCCCACTCCTGACGCTGTCTGAGAGGCTTGTTTGGGTCTTTATTGACTCCCCACGTTTCTTCTCCTGCTTCTTCCTTCCCCCCCCTTCCTATCCCGGCTCCAGCTCTCCTGAGTCACTTGGAGAAATGAAACATCCTGTTTCCTGGAATCCACTATCTCATCTGGTTAATCTCGAATACTTCCTTTGGTTATTATGTCTAACAACAGCCTTATCGAGCTAGAATTCACATGTCTTAAAATCTTCTTGTAACGTGTCCATGTTTCTTGGGTATATACCTAGGGGTGGAATTACTGGGTCAGATGGTAACTATGTTTAACACTCTGAGGACCTGCCAGACTAGGTGTTTTCCAAAACAGCTGCACCATTTTGCATTCCTGCCAGCAACGTCTGAGAGTTCTAATTTCTCCTGGTCCTTGCCAGGATTTGTTATTGTCCGACTTCTTTATTATGGCCTTCCTTGTGGGTATGAAGATATATCTTGTGGTTTTGATTTGCATTTCTCTAATGGTTAATGATGTTGAACGTGTTTTCCTATGGTTGGCCATCTGTATATGTCTTTTGTAAAAATGCCCATTCAGTTCCCTTGCTCATTTTCTCAGTGGGTTATTTGTCTTTTATTGTTGAGTTCTAAGAGTTCTTCATATATTCTGGATACAAGTCTCTGATCAGATATATCACTTGCAAATATTTTTCTCCCATTTTGTGGGTCAACTTTTCACTTTCTTGATGGCTTCCTTTGAAGCACAAGTTTTTCATTTTGACAAAGCCTTCTTTATATTTTGTTTGTTTGGTTGCGTGTTCTCTTAGTTGTATCTAAGCCATGGCCATGCTCAGTTTTCATCATTTTTTTAAAATTTGTTTTTATTGATTTTAGAGAGAGAGGAAGTGAGAGAGATAGAAACATCAATGAGAGAGAAACACACTTCCTACTGGGGATCAAGCCCACAACCTGAGCATGTGCCCTGACTGGAATTGAACTAGTGACCTCTTTGTTCATGGGTTAACGCTCAACCATTGAACCACACCATCTGGGCAGTTTTCTCCCCGACCTGAACACCTGTCTGATACACGCTCCTTTTCTATGCTCTTATGATGCCTTCTGAAAGGCCGAGCATAGGGCAGTGCTGTACTTGTGCCTGCCTCAACACTGGGCCAGGGGGTGGCATATGGCAGCTTGGGATTTGTTGGGACAAATCCAGCCACTTGTTTTTGTATGGCCTGTGAGCTAATAACAGTTTTTATATTTTTAAATCATTGGAAAAAATCAGAAGTGCACTAGGAACTCTGTACTTTTAAAAAATATATATTTTATTGATTTTTTACGGAGAGGAAGGGAGAGGGATAGAGAGTTAGAAACATCGATGGGAGAGAAACATCAATCAGCTGCCTCCTGCACACCTCCTACTGGGGATGTGCCCGCAACCAAGGTACATGCCCTTGACCGGAATTGAACCTGGGACCCTTCACTCTGCAGGCCAGCGCTCTATCCACTGAGCCAAACTGGTTAGGGCAGGAACTCTGTACTATTTTTGCAACTTCTTGTGAGTCTTAAACTATTTCAAAATAAAAAAATTTTAATAAAAGTAAGAATAATGTTATGGTCCTAGCCGGTTTTGCTCAGCGGATAGAGCATTGGCCTGCGGACTGAATGGCCCCAGGTTCGATTCCAGTCAAGGGCACATGCCTGAATTGCGGGCTGTTATCCCCAGTGATTCTCTCTCATCATTGATGTTTCTATCTCTCTCGCCCTCTCTGAAATCAATAAAAATATTTTTTAAAAAAGAATAATGTTATGCATCATGTGAAAATTATATTTCAGTGTTCATAAATAATGTTTTATTAGAACACAGCTGATGCCCCTTTATTTAAGTATTGTATATGGTGAAGTTGAATAGTTGCAACAGAGACCATTGGAGCGTGGCCCACCGAGCTGAAAATATTTACTTTCACCCTTTATGGAGAAAGTTTGCCAACCCCTGGTTTGTGCTGAAATAGCAAGGCAGCACCGCTTCAGTGACGCTACTTGATGACTAATACAAACCCATTTGCTGGGACAGGAAGCTGAAAGCATCACCCTCAGCCACAGCCCCACCTCCTGACCTTCGAGCATGTGGGATCAAATGCACCATGAGATTCTCCCAGCTGCAGCCTACTGCGCTGGACATTGATTACCTGCCTTGCATGTTTAGCGGCCTGTCAGATGTATGTATCTGAGACAGCTTTTCCTTTTATGATGCTGAATCTGCTATTTCCATTCCAACCACTGTCTGGAAGTTTCCACCCGCCTTCTGAGATGAACCTGAAGACCAGGTTAATAATTCTTGCTGCTCTAAAGCTTTGGTGTGAGACCTATCATGTTTATCTTTTAGGTGTTTAAAGACAATTGCTGCAAAAGGGAAGTCCTCAATTTATATGTATATTGCAAAAATGCTCCTGGGTGTAATGCCAAGATTATTCTGGGACGATACCAGGTTGGTATTACGAACAACATTTGCCTTTGCCAATTTCCGGTGACGTGCATTGAACACCTTTTTTTTGTGATAGTTACTGGGCTAAGCATGGGGGTGGGGGTGGTCATTGGGCTGCCCTCAGAGAATTCCTACCTAGAAATTCTGCCCCACAGCATGCAAAGGGCTAAGATGTGAGTGAAGAGGTTTGTTCTACCTGGAAGGCATGGAGGACGTGCTACCTGAACTAGGCCTTACATTGTGGGTTAGGGGCATTGATCCAAAAGTGAAGATGTGAGATATGCTGGGCAAAAGGAACGCTTAAGCAAGGACATGTCCTTTGGGGGGAACTGTGAAGGATTTGGGGTCCCCAGGGTGGGAGCCAGGGTATGAGTGCCCGGAGGCATTTGCAGATGCCAGAGTGGTTGCTTCCCAGCAGCTGTGGGCCCTGGCCTCTTAGAATTTATGATCTAAGGCAGAAAACAGATCAGAACAGAGTTAGGATGGAGTTTAAAGGTGAAGCATTGTTAGGAGATGCAAACAAAAGGCCTAGGGCAGTGGCCAGCAAACTGCGGCTCGGCAAACCACGGCTCACGAGCCACATGCGGCTCTTTGGCTCCTTGAGTGTGGCTTTTCCACAAAATATCGGCTCTTCCACAAAATACCGACTTCTGCGCATGGGCCACAAAGTTTCCATCTCACTGTACATGCGCGCCCGCACGTGGTATTTTGTGGAAGAGCCACACTTCCTATGGAATGAAACTGTCCTACCCGGCTCTTCCATCCAGCGGGGCGCTTGTGAAATGCAGGCTGGGAATGTGGCCCCGCCATGGCAGGCCCCTATCAGGTTTGATCACACGACGAATGAATAAGGCTCAGGCATCCCAAGCTTCCAGGGAATGCTCGGGGGCTGCTGAGAATTTCCACTCCCGCCCACACATTTTGGAATATGTTTCAGGTGATTTTTTTCTCTGTCAGTCCTCCAGACCCCGCAGGCGCTGAGCTTATAAATGTGCAAATGATTTCCTTGTTAGCCCAGGGAGTTCTTTGGAGGCTCACGGAACTTGGTTGTGTTTTTCCCATGACAGCCCCTGGCCACTGGTTCCGATAGTCAGATAGTCAGGTCCCCAAGCAGGGCCTCTTTTCAACTGTGGGTTGTCGCTAAGCCTGAAAGGGAAACGAGGCTCAAATGGACCAGGGATCAGCTTTAGCGACCAGATCATCAGCTTCTAGGGAACAGTGGCTGGTTTCTTTTCACCTCTTTCTTTCGTATTTCCCCTCATTCACTGTTCTCCCCACCTTGTGTGACAGGGCGGGGGACCTTACAGATAGCAGAGTCTTGATGAATGCTGACTGTTTTGATGAGTTGAGGGTAACATCAGTGAATTTTGGACAAGATGTGGATTTCAGTTGTCATCACCATTTGTTTCTTACCAGCAGAGGCAGAGGAAAATAGGTGTATTTATTGATCTCCCATAGATAAACTCTTTGCTCTTTTTTCCTTCAGAGAAGGAGTCAGCACACTGTTTCTGCCGAGAGCCAGACAGTAAATATTTCAGGCTTTGCAGGCTCTGTCGCAACTGCTCAACTTTCCCGTTTTAGAGGATAGATCATCTGAGAACAAATAGATAGGCATGTGGCTATTCTCCAATAAAACTTTATTTACAAACACAAGTAGCAGGCCCGGTTGGCCCAAGGCCCATAGCTTTCCGACCCTGTTTTAAAGGATTTTTCAGGCAGACAACCTCATTAAGATTTTGATAACTTGTCAGAATCACAGTAACTTACAGTCATTCAAAGGTCCTATTAAAATATGCCTGTTTTCATAAATCTCTAATGTGCAGACAACTGGAATGAACACTGTTAATGTCATTAGTCTCCTATATTCCAGTTGAAAACGTTTCCTGACCTTGTAAGACTGGCCATTCCCAGCTCCTCCTTGGCCTGTGGGTCCTATATGTCCTCTACCTCCTTTCTTGACCACTTCTGGACCAGCTTCCTCTCCCTCCCTTTTCTTCCTTTAACCCCTTCTTTTCTTCCCCTTTCCCCCCTCTGTCCTGGCTTTTACCATCTGCAAATAGTGCCTGGTGCTAGGGGTGGGGATAAAGAGTACACAAAAGAAATAAAAAATATTCTTGAGGTCTGGTCAATTCATTGGCAAGCCTTAAGGAAATATTCAAGAACTAACCTGAGAATATGAGCACGTTCCTAGGTAATCTAAACTAAAACTCGTTATTCCTCCTTCTTCCCCCACCTTCGCCCCTCCTCCTAATTCCCACCTCGCAAGGCTGGCTTTCAGAGCCTGGGTCCAAGCAGCCCTCTGTTCAGCACTCAGAGCCTGCAGGCACGGCTGTCCTTCCTCCCAGCGCCCCCTGTTACTCCCTCTAGGCCTTTCAGCACCTCCCTTCCCACCGCCCTGTTATGTGTTTGTCGCAGGACCACCTTCAACAGTGCTTATTTCAAGCTGTGCAGTGTTCCAATGAGAGCTGTCGGCAGCCAGTCCTTCGGAAAGATCTGAAAGAGCACTTGAGCGCAGACTGCCAATTTCGAGAAGAAAAATGCCTCTATTGCAAAAAGGAGGTGGTAGTCATCAATCTACAGGTAAAAAAAAAAAAAAATTCCTCACCTTTAGGGGGCTAAATTCTGCTTGAGTGGTCACAGGGAATCAGATGAGCTACCAGAAGCCCACCTTTCTGGATTTATTTTTGTACAGAAATACTAGGTCTTAAGAATAACTTTATGTGAGAGAAGTTGTGTAAGAAACAAAAGCCCTCTTGGTGGTAGGACTGTACTCGTTTATCATGGGCAAAAATGTTGTTTGAACACCTGCTGAGGATGAGTGTGCAAGGAGGGACGCTAGAGATGGGTCCCAAGGAGGTGGCAGTACTGTCTGTCCTCAGGATGCTGTAGTCTGACCGGGGAGGTTGGCTGTGGGCATAAAACAAGAGCATGGGTACCTTTCACCTGTGCCAGAGGAGCCGCACTGATGACTCCCACAGCCTGCCCTCTGGGAGTCCTGTGCCCTCCGACTTTCTTTCGGAATAACTGGGAAATTTAATGGAACTGAATTCCTTTATACCAGTGGTTCTCAACTTTCTAGCCCTTTAAATACAGTTCCTCATGTTGTGACCCAACCATAAAATTATTTTCGTTGCTACTTCATAACTGTAATGTTGCTACTGTTATGAATCGTAATGTAAATATCTGATATACAGGATGGTCTTAGGCGACCCCTGTGAAAGGGCCGTTCGACCGCCAAAGGGGTCGCGACCCACAGGTTGAGAACCGCTGCTTTATAACAAGAAAGCGGCCGTCTATATGCAATCCTTTCTGGAAGTAGCCCATACCTTCCTGACGGTGAGCCACATACATAGATTCCCAAAGAGACATGTGTATAAACACTCTGAGGGCATACAAGGGAACCCTTGAAAGCGAAGGTGGCTTGGTGTCATCACGCTTTTTCTGTTTCAGAATCATGAAGAAAACGTGTGCCCCGAGTACCCAGTACCTTGTCCCAACAAGTGTGTGCAGATGATTCCCAGAGCTGAGGTAACTGTAAATAATTCTCTCAGTAGATTTCATGTAAGATAAAGTTTTAGCAGTCAGGATGGGGTGTGTCTGACAAAATCGCCTATGCGAAGGCCCCAGGCTTAAACGACACCCATGGTAACCATGTCTCTGTCTTCCCCTCCCATTTCCCGAGAATTCTCCTCCGTTTTCACCATAGCGCTCCCTCCACAAGCCTCAGCATCTCCTTTTCCTGCTCCTGTTCCCGCCCTTCTTCCCAAGCCTCCCTTGGCTCCCTGCTTGCTGCAGTTACACCAGACAGTTGGAAAATGGCCGGTGAATTTCTGTAACGTGAGGCTGTCCCTTTCGTAGGTGGATAAACACCTGGCTGTGTGTCCTGAAGCAGAACAAGACTGTCCTTTCAAGCACTATGGCTGTCCTGTAAAGGTATGGAGCGCCTTTCTGTTTCTGCCTCTACATTCTGCTGTATAATTCATTGGGTGAGTTCCTTGTACTCTTCGGTTCCGTCCGGGATGCAAAAGGACATTCACTTATGAGAACTTTAAGACTGGGAATTGTATTTGTCATGGTTCTGCAGAGACATAGAACCAACAGGAGATATGTAATATATACTTAAATATATATAATATATACTTATATACTATACTAGAGGCCCGGTGCACAAAAATTTGTGCACTCGGGGGGCGGGGGGAGGGGGGTCCCCCAGCCCGGCCTGTGCCCTCTCGCAGTCTGGGACCCCTCGGCAGATAACGACCTGCTGGCTTAGGCCTGCTCCCGGGTGGCAGAGGGCAGGCCCAATCCCTAAGTGCAGCCCCTGGTCAGGCTCAGAGCAGGGCCGATTGAGGAGTTGGGGCGCCGCACTGTCATGCACAGAGCAGGGCGGATCAGGAGGTTGCGATGCCACCCTCAGTCACGCTCAGGGTAGGGCCGATTGGGGGGTTGGGGCACCGCCCCCTGTCACACTCAAGGCAGGGTCTATGGGGAGGTTGCGGCGCCACCCCCTATCACGCACAGAGCAGGGCCAATCAGGGGGTTGGGGCGCTGCCCCCTGTCACTCACAGAGCAGGGCC